CATACGGCGCGAGAGGCCCGGTTGGCAGGAAGGGGTGACAATTGTGGAAAACCGATGTTCCCTTGAAGATTCCGACCGCGAGCGCTCTTGTTTTGTTTTGGAACATGATGTTGCAACACCATGTGTTTGGATATGTTTGCGAGACATTCGGTTCTTGAAATCTGTACGACAATCCAGTTTTTCGCAAGGATTCCGGCGTGCGCGCGCGACGACGCGCGCGTGTGCATGTCGTCGCATTTGCTGCAAAGGGTTCTTGCGACAGCACGCGCGCAATGGTGTTCGAACGATTTTGGCACGCGTGCGCAAGAGGCCCATTTGGCAGGACGATATGAAAATGTTGAACTACGCATGGCTGTTCTTTTAACTATCCCGGCAAAGCAACCTAACAGCGATGTGTAGGAGCATATCTGGAAGCATTCCCCTTAAGATTCAGATGATAATCCAGTTGTAGAATTCTGCTGTTCTCGCAGTCGTAGTCGCATTCGCGATGGCAGTCGCAGTGGCAACGACAGTCGCAGTCACAGCCTCAGCCTCAGCCGCCTCAGCCTCAGCCTCAGCCTGCCTTAGCCTCAGCCTGCCTCAGCCTCAGCCTCAGCCTCCTTCAGCCTCAGCCTCAGTCTGCCTTCAGCCTCGCCTCAGCCTCAGCCTGCCTCAGCCTCAGCCTGCAGCCAGCCTCAGCCTCAGCCTCAGCCTCAGCCTCAGCCTCAGCCTCAGCCTGCCTCAGCCTCAGCCTCAGCCTCAGCCTCAGCCTCAGCCTGCCTCAGCCTCAGCCTCAGCCTCAGCCTCAGCCTCAGCCTCAGCCTCAGCCTCAGCCTCAGCCTGCAGCCTCAGCCTCAGCCTCAGCCTCAGCAGCCTCAGCCTCAGCCTCAGCCTCAGCCTCAGCCTCAGCCTCAGCCTCAGCCTCAGCCTCAGCCTCAGCCTCAGCCTCAGCCTCAGCCTCAGCCTCAGCCTCAGCCTCAGCCTCAGCCTCAGCCTCAGCCTCAGCCTGCCTCAGCCTCAGCCTGCATCAGCCTCAGCCTCAGCCTCAGCCTCCTCAGCCTCAGCCTCAGCCTGCTCAGCCTCAGCCTCAGCCTCAGCCTGCCTCAGCCAGCCTGCAGCCTCAGCCTCAGCCTCAGCCTCAGCCTCAGCCTCAGCCTGCTTCAGCCTCAGCCTCAGTCTGCCTTCAGCCTCGGCCTCAGCCTCAGCCTGCCTCAGCCTCAGCCTGCATCAGCCTCAGCCTCAGCCTCAGCCTGCCTCAGCATCAGCCTGCCTCAGCCTCAGCCTCAGCCTGCCTCAGCCTCAGCCTCAGCTGCTTCAGCCTCAGCCTCAGTCTGCCTTCAGCCTCGGCCTCAGCCTCAGCCTGCCTCAGCCTCAGCCTGCATCAGCCTCAGCCTCAGCCTCAGCCTGCCTCAGCATCAGCCTGCCTCAGCCTCAGCCTCAGCCTGCCTCAGCCTCAGCCTCAGCCTGCTTCAGCCTCAGCCTCAGTCTGCCTTCAGCCTCGGCCTCAGCCTCAGCCTGCCTCAGCCTCAGCCTGCATCAGCCTCAGCCTCAGCCTCAGCCTGCCTCAGCATCAGCCTGCCTCAGCCTCAGCCTCAGCCTGCCTCAGCCTCAGCCTCAGCCTGCTTCAGCCTCAGCCTCAGCCTGCCTTCAGCCTCAGCCTCAGCCTCAGCCTGCCTCAGCCTCAGCCTGCCTCAGCCTCAGCATCAGCCTGCCTCAGCATTCAAAATGTGGCGGGGAATGGAGTTCTGGGAACTCGAAGACCACGAAGTGGCCTACAGTTGGCTCCGGGCATTCAAAATCATGCCCAGGAATGGAGTTCTGGGAACTCGAAGACCACGAAGTGGCCTACAGTTGGCTCCGGGCACTCAAAATCATGCCCAGGAATGGAGTTCTGGGAACTCGAAGACCACGAAGTGCGTTATTGTTTGCTAAAAAGGAGTCCCCGGTTTTCCGCGGCACCCGTCCGGCATCTGCCCAGACCTCCCTGGGGAATCAGGATGCTCTCTTTTGACCCCACTAGAAACCTATCAGTCTTCGCTGTTAGGTAAAAAAGAATTCGCCAGAGCGCGGGCGCAGGCGTTGTTTTGAAAACCCTTGTTGCGAAACCGCGTTGATTTATATGTTTCCGTGATTTTCGATTTTGAAATCCCTACGACAATTCATGTCTTCGAAAGGTTGCGGCATGCGCCTGCGACGCCGCGCGCGTGTGCACGCCGCCCCTTCTTTGCAAGGGACGGCGGAAAACGGATGGTTCTTGATAAACGAGTGCGCGCGCATACTGCTTTCTTTTCACAGGATGAGAGGGAGAACCGATACCGGCCTGGCTGGGATTTTAGGAATTCTTCTTCACGATGGACGATGGGGCATAGTCAAGTGTAAATTGCCATATGAATAGGTGGCCCGTTAACCCGGGGGGTAGGTCTTAGACAAATTCTTGGAAGTTGCATTATATGTGGTGTGAGCTACGTTGTGCAGTTTATGTGTTGTAAGTTGTGCAGTACAACCGATGTGGTACAAACTATGTAGTGCGAGCTACGCAGAGCAAAGCACAGCACGGCATAGCAATGCAAATCAATACAAAACAATGAAAGGCAATGCAAAGCAATGCGATTGTAAGGTATTGCGTTTGTAACGAAATGCGATAGCAATACCGTCGAGAGTCTGAGTAATGAACCTCCTCCTGAACAGTTGGGCCAGCGTTTCCCACCTAACATGCCCGAAAGCTGGTCCTCTTTCTTAGGCACGTGCGTCCCTCCAGCGTGAATTAACAACGTTTTACGAAACTTCCGGAAAGCTGGCCCAGGTTTCTTAAACCATGATTTGTCGGATCATATTTTTAGGTGTGCTGTGCCCTGACGACGGGCGGCGATTGGCGGCGATTGGGCGGCGAGCGGCGACGAGGCCGCGACCGTGGGGCGACGGGGCGGCGACGGCGGCCACATGGAGACAGGACCGCCAGCCAGGCCCAGACGACGGGCGGCGACGGGGCGGCGACGGGGCGGCGATGTCGGCCACACAGCCGCCAGACCGCCAGCCAGGCCCAGACGACGGCCGGCGACGAGGCGGCGACGGCGGCGACATAGCCGCCTGACCGCCAGCCGGGCCGAGTTCCATAGAAAACAAGCAAGAACCCTTAAGTGCAAGCATTGTTTAGGGAATCAGCCGTAAATCTGCAAAGATTAGATTGGTGTTGCAGCATGCTTCCGTCGAGGTCCAATGAGGGTATTCTTTAATTGGATGTAAGCGAGGCAGCAGAAAGCGAGCAACTGCAATCTTGGAAGTTCCGACAACGGCAAACTTGTGCGCCGGACTGCTTAGATTTGCATGGCCTTGGTTTGACTTGCGTTGTTCAGCTCATAGTTGCTTTTGCTCAGGCGGAGTAGATTGCTGATTCGCTTTGTTGGCTTCACTATGATCGTATTGTGTTGGGTTTGCTAGGCTCCGCTTTGCCGTTCCTGTATACGATTTCGCATGTCGCGTTGTATTGCTGAACCTGCGTTCTGGTCAGTCGTTGCGTTGCACTGTATGGTTTCGCGTCTGCGCTTTTTGTGCCTTCTTGCCTTGCGTTTGCCTTTCTTCGCGATGCTTACATGTGCTATTGCTTTTATGTTTGTTTTGCCCAGGTGCGAGCGATTCATGCGTGTCTTTGTGCCTGCATTGTGTTTCTTTGCCTGGTTTCGCTTCGTGCTGCCTCCATGTGCTTTAGCTCCGCATTGATATGCCTGGCGTTGCTTTGATGCTCTCATGTGTCGTTCTTGATTTGCGCTGTTGCTGCTGTTTTGCTTTGCTTTGTCGTGCCCGCTTCGTTTTGATATGCCAGGTCACGATGTCCTGTCGTCCCAAGCTTATGTTTGTGCACTTTTGACCTGCTGCAGTACTATCAGATCCGTCTGTGTATTGCAACTACTTTTGCCCTTTCGCTGTGCTGTGCTAGGCGCCGGTTTGAAACATTCGACGTCGTGTTGCTTCGCTCGGTCTTGCGTAGACTTGTACTGCGCTGTTTTGATGCTAGTGGCTTCGCGACTGGATTGTATGCAGTGTTGTTTTCAGTGTTGATGTGATCTGCTCTGGACTGCATTGCCTCTCTTCGCTTTGCATGTTATGTTGCGTTGTGTTTTCTGGCATTGCCTTATGTACGGTATGTTGCGTTGTTTTCCTATACTCTTATCATGTTGGCATGCATTTGAGTTTTCATTATTTCGCAGCGCTGTCAGTTTTTTGTATTCGATCCAGCTGTCGTTGTCTCGCCGTTATTTCGCTCTGCTCTGCTCGGGAGTGATTCGCTCTGCTTCTCCGTCGGACGCTGTGCCGTGCCTTGTCTGGATGTGCGTTGTTTGGGGGGCTCTCCTTCTCCGTTGCCTCGCCTCGCCTCGCGTTGCTTCTGCTTTGGTCGCGTTTGTCTTGGCTGTTGCTCAGCGCGCCACCCCACTGGAAGGGTGCTGGGCAGCCGAGCCGAAGGAGCGGAGCGGTCGAGCAAACGGTGCCAGGCGCGCGGCGATGTTCGACTTTGGATCCGCTAAGAAGCCCCACGGTCCATCAACCAGGAGGAGTAGGTGCAGGAGGATGGTCGGGGGGAGGAGGGAAAGACGAGCAAGGAGAGGCTGGCAGAAGCGAAGCCAATCTATCTATTGGTTGGTTTTGCGTTTTGTCGAGCTTGTGGTTTGCCTACAGTACGATTATGTTGGCACTGCTTTTGCTTGCGCTCTGCGCTGCTATGATTATATCGTCGGTGTTTTTGCTTTTGTGTTTGCATTCGCTTTTCGATGGTTTGCCAGATGCCGACCCTGCCATGAGTTGCAGCTTTGCCCAGCTATACTTGACGCTGTTTTACGCTACTTTGGCTGTGCTCTGCGTTGCTGTGCTTTGTTTCGGCATGGTTTCGCTCACTGTGCTTTGTGTTTCTGTGTCTTGCCTGGTTTATATGTCAGTTTTTGATTTGGATCTTTCAGAGTTCATGCGTCGTTGAGGGGTGATTGAATCCTGAATCCTTGTTTGGCAAGGGGAGTGTGCGCAGCACTGAGGACGCGAAGTCAAAGGATCTAGTTCTGAAGGTGGACAAGGCGCCGCATCTCCTGATGTTGTTGGAATGACGTTTTGAGGGTAGCGCAGGCTGATGCAGGATCTGATCGTTTTAGCGATGGCGCTTGATTTATGATCTCGAGCTTTTTCCCATGTAGAGCATGATGGTCTCAGCGCCATGTCTGGAAGCCATTTCATTGTGTTCAATGCATTCCACATTTGTTTTCGATCTAGCGGTATGCGCATCGCGTTGACTGTAGGCGGAGGGTTGATCGCCGGTGTTTTTGTTCGTCGTGCTTCGCATGCTGCACCAATTCATCCATGCATCGGTGCGGGCCCCCCTTTCGGGATGCTCCTTAAGTGGTCCTCTCTGGCGTATCGGGTTCCCTCTCCTCCTTCTTCCTTTCTCGACGCCCGTGGCGCTGTCGGCGCAGACACGTTGTATCTGCCTAGTTTTATTGCTATGTCTCTCCTGTCTCTCACTACTCGCCTTCCGCCTCCTCTTCTTGCTGTGCCCGCAGATCTGGGTGGCACTTTCGGGGCAGCGGCACGCAGTCGTGTCATGCAGGTGTCCAGCGAGTCTTGGGGCACTCCTGTGACAGCTGCTTGCAAGGAAATGGGCATTTTTACTCGCGACAAGCCGGACACATTTGTTGTCGCATGGAGGATGGCGGTTGCCCCCGACCCTATGGTGCACTTGCACGCAAGGGAGGGGAATATTGCAGATCCCGACGGCAAGAACGCGGCGGCCAAGGGTGCGGCGTTCGACAGCACGGTCGTTGAGTGCGGTCAGGCCGACGGCATGGCCGAGGTGCCATATTGCCTCTCCCGGTTGGGTGTGGACGTGGACGATAGGTTTTGTCCATGTGGGATGAGGGTGAGACGCATTGTTAAAAATCACAGCACGATCCAGAAGTTGCCAAACGAGAAGCGAGGTCTGCCAAGCTCCAGGTCTGCCTCGCACCCCCAGCAGCAAGGAACCCCCAGCGCCACTACAGCGGCTCGATGGCAGGGCTGTGGTCGTCGACGAGACCGCCAGCAGCCAGGTGGAGTACCGCCAACTGTCCATGGTCAGATGCATCTCGAAGGGATCGACAGCCGTAGGAGCAAGGGACCCTGCGTCGGCGGGGCTTCGAAGCTGGGCAAAATGGACTTTGGGCGATACCATGTAGAATCGGGCGGCCAGAGACCAAAGGGGCTTGATACCCACATTCTATATACTGGAAGAGATAGAAGACACCGCCAGGCGTGGACCTGTTCATTCGGGGGGACGGGCAGGTAGGGGGGCACGGAGGCAGTCCAGTGGGAGCCGCCACCCGGGCTGGTGTCAAAGAGGCGAGCCGTTGGCGACTCGGAGCGGCAGCCGGAGCCAGCGTGCCGCAATTGCGCGGAATTTGATAAAAATGGTCCGCGCCACAGCGCTGAGGCCAAGAACTTATGCGCCCGACTGTGCGTGCGCACCCTGTCCGTAACCATTTTGGCTCAAGTTCCCAACCCCGTGGGGGGGGGGCTTGCCGCGGCCATGGGGTCGAGGGCTCACCAGCAGTTCTGGCGTTGCCTGAAGGACCTCAGGCTAGTATCTGTTAGCGCGAGTTGAAAGTGGGCTATCTGTCAGTTGTAAGGTTGCTATAAGTAGGGTACAACCGTTAACAACGTTACTGAGTCGGCTAACTAGGGCGGCGTAGTTGGGCATATATACCTATACGACCGCCCTGCGGACGATAAGGAGGTTGGGGGGGATTGAGACGATATGGATTGGGTTGGACAAGATGGATTGGATAATATGGATTGGATAAGATAAGCTGGATTGGATAAGAAAGCCCGCCGCAGGCGCCGACAAAAATGAATTGATGGACTGGGTTGGGTGGATTGGATTGGATGGGATAAGACGGGTTGGATGAGACAATATGGGTTGGATAAGAAGAAATGTAGTGGATAAGATAAGATGGATTGGATTGGCCCGCCGCGGGCGCAGAAACAAATGAATTCATGGATTGGGTTGGGTGGATTGGATTGGGTGGGATAAGAGAAGATGGAACACAATGGGTTGGATATGATACGATGGATTGGATTGGACGAGATGTTTTGGAGAAGATAAGCTGGATTGGATAAGAAAGCCCGCCGCAGGCGCCGAAAATAATGAATCATGAAATTAGCGACATGCGTTAGCGCCGGGACGCCCGGGACACCCGGGACACCCTGGACACCGCCCAGCCCAATTGGGACACTTCCCGGCCACCAGCGGACGGGAAACGGACTTTCGCTCCTACTGACACCCGGGACACCCGGGACACCGTCCGGCCCAACTGGGACACCTCCCAGCCACCGGCGGACGGGAACGGACTTTCGCTCCTACTTCGGCCTAGCTACAGGAGGATCACGCGCAGCTTCGCCTCGCCCGCACGCACGGCACGAACACGGAACCGAAACCGATTTCCCGGTGGGGGGGGTCTCCGTTTCACTGCGATTTAACCCCCCAACTTCCGAGATATATATATATATATATATATATATTGAGAGAGCGAAGTTAGTAAGTTCGCTAATGTCTATGCTATTGCACGAAAATTTGGTCGTCGCATCGCGTTTCCCCCATGTACTCCCCCAAAATCACATGCCCTAGCTGTGTTTTGTTTCTGGATCCCGCATTCAGGATAATATGATCCACATTCGCGCGTGAACGCACTCTGTGTGCGTGTTTCTTCCCAGCCCTCTTGCGTTGGGTTCTCGTTTTAAATAGAGCACTGCTCGCGCGTCTCCTTCCCACCCCTTCCCGTCCCTCCCTCTCTTCCCCCCTGCCTTTGACCTCGCCATCTTTGGGGGGCTGCGATCGGTGAAACTGTCGCCACTTTCGAGGCCTGCTGGAGGGCCCAGCACAGTGGGTACCCACGCGGATTATTAGACCTCGCCATCCTTGGGGGGCTGCGATCTGTGAAATTGTCGCCACTTTCGACGCTTGCTGGGGGGGCCAGCACAGTGGGTACCCACGCGGATTCAAACTAGACCTCGCCATCCCTGGGGGGCTGCGATCTGCGAAACTGTCGCCACTTTCGAGGCCTGCTGGGGGGGCCAGCACAGTGGGTACCCACGCGGATTCAAACTAGACCTCGCCATCCCTGGGGGGCTGCGATCTGCGAAACTGTCGCCACTTTCGAGGCCTGCTGGGGGGCCCAGCACAGTGGGTACCCACCGCGGACTCAAGTTAGACCTCGCCATCCCTGGGGGTTTCTGCGATCTGCGAAACTGCTGCCATTTTGGAGGCCTGCTGGGGGGCCCAGCACAGTGGGTACCCACCGAGGACTCAAACTAGACCTTGCCATCCCTGGGGGGCTGCGATCTGTGAAACTGCCGCCACTTTCGAGGGTTGCTGATGGGCCCAGCACAGTGGGTACCCACCGCATATTCAAACTAGACCTCGCCATCCCTGGGGGGCTGCGATCTGTGAAGATGTCGCAACTTCCGAGGCCTGCTGAGGGGCCCAGCACAGTGGGTACCCACCGCAGATTCAAATTAGACCTGGCCATCCCTGGGGGGCTGCGATTTGTGAAACTGTCGCCACTTTCGAGGGCTGCTGAGGGGCACAGCACAGTGGGTACCCACGGCGGACTCCAATGAGATCTCGCCATCCCCGGGGGGCTGCGATCTGTGAAACTGTCGCCACGTTCGAGGGTTGCTGAGGGGCCCAGCACAGTGGGTACCCACCGCAGATTCAAGCTAGACCTCGCCATCCCCGGGGGGCTGCGATCTGTGGAACTGTCGCCACGTTCGAGGGTTGCTGAGGGGCCCAGCACAGTGGGTACCCACCGCAGATTCAAACTAGACCTCGCCATCCCTGGGGGGCTGCGATCTGTGAAACGGTCGCCACTTTCGAGGGCTGCTGAGGGGCCCAGCACACTGGGTATCCACCGCAGATTCAAATTTGACCTCGCCATCCCTGGGGGGCTGCGATCGGTGAAACTGTCGCCACTTCCGAGGGCTGCTGAGGGGCCCAGCACAGTGGGTACCCACCGCAGATTCAAATTTGACCTCGCCATCCCTGGGGGGCTGCGATCTGCGAAACTGTCGCCACTTTCGAGGCTTGCTGAGGGGCCCAGCACAGTGGGTACCCACCGAGGACTCAAATGAGACCTCGCCATCCCTGGGGGGCTACGATCGGTGAAACTGTCGCCACTTTCGAGGGCTGCTGAGGGGCACAGCACAGTGGGTACCCACCGCAGATTCAAATTAGACCTCGCCATCCCTGGGGGGGGCTGCGATCGGTGAAACTGTCGCCACTTCCGAGGGCTTCTGAGGGGCCCAGCACAGTGGGTACCCACCGCAGATTCAAATTTGACCTCGCCATCCCTGGGGGGCTGCGATCTGCGAAACTGTCGTCACTTTCGAGGCTTGCTGAGGGGCCCAGCACAGTGGGTACCCACCGAGGACTCAAATGAGACCTCGCCATCCCTGGGGGGCTGCGATCGGTGAAACTGTCGCCACTTTCGAGGGCTGCTGAGGGGCACAGCACAGTGGGTACCCACCGCAGATTCAACTTAGACCTCGCCATCCCTGGGGGGGGCTGCGATCGGTGAAACTGTCGCCACTTTCGAGGGCTGCTGGGGGGCACAGCACAGTGGGTACCCACCGCAGACTCAAATTAGACGCAGCTTTCGCCCTTGTTCTCCTCCTGCAGTCACCTTCCCTCTGCTGCTGCCGTGCTGATGGTTTGGCTTCCCGCACGTTTTTCTCTTGCTCTGCGTTCCCGACTCCCCATGTCCTCTTCGAGCCTGTAGCTGTCGCCCCTGGTTCTTGTATGGTTCTCCTGCGCATCATGCCATAGGCGCGTGTCCCGAGCAGCTTACACATCAAGTTCATTGCCCATGCAAGTGTCGGCCAAATCCTCGTTTCCATTGACACAAATGGGGGGTTGGGTACGTCCCAGGGTAATGTGTTACGAAGCTTTACAATAATGCAGCGCAGTATAAATGAGCGAAAGCATCTTGAAACTGCGACGCTCGGTTGCACATCATTTGCATAGGCCGTAGTTTAGGCTCAAGCGGTTTGGGCAAGGCTTCCACGCGGTGCCATAAACGCCTACCGACAGAAAAAAGGCAGAGCGAGTGCCAAGAGTGATACGATGGCGATCAAGAGTGCGGAGTTGCAGCCCGATGCGCCTGTTGTTTTCCCTTGTTCGAGGACGCGTGCGAGATCGCCAGGAATATTGATTGCTTCGGGGTGGAGAAGATACGCTCCAAATGTATGTTGGTGCGCACGGAGCACGGGCATGGAGATGGTGCTATGCCAAGCGAAGTTTTGGATTTGATGGCGCAGACCTTCAGGGGTGGTCTCAAACATCTGGTCCTCATGGATCCTTCGTACATGAAGCTCCCACCACTGGGCGCACCTGGGTCTGAGAAGATCAAGACGCCCAGTTTTTTTAATTAAGGCAAGATTACGCAGGCCAGTTGCCGCCAAATGATTGCGAGGCGAAGCTCGCAATCTAAACTTGAGGGCGCACGAACATGGGATTGCGACGCTTCAACGCAGAAGCTCCAGTGCCCACGGCAAAGCCATAACGACCTGATCAATTATCCCATGAGGTAGTTTGCAAGTGAAGAGAGCGCCTGAGACGCAGCACGATGACGCAAAGGCCTGCGATGAGGGCATCGAATAGAAGGTGTTACGATCTGAGCGTGTCAAGTAGTGCCCTTGGGCCGGCAACCTGGCGCAAGAAGCTGGCAATGCTGGTCAGCTGATTGCGCGGTGCGAGAGTCGCGTGAGCCTGATGTTCAAGACCGCGTGCATTGCGAACCGCCGCCATATTGGCGGCGCCGCCGCTTGGGAGAAGGTCGTCAAAGGGGCTACTCGCGCGGGCTTTCTCTATCCTGGTGAGGTGGCTTGGGCCAGTGCAATATGCGGGGGAATTGTCTGGCGGCCTCGCCAACCCAATATCCCTGAACGAGCTGCGCGACTTCTCGCGGCAGTTGACCACCCAGTGCGCGGTCGCTGGCACCATGGCGAAGTCTCTCGCCGACGTGCAGATCAAGCGCGATGGGGCTGTTGCGACTTTCAAGCTCGCACGCCTTAAGGCCATGACGCACGCGACGGGCAAGTGCTGCAGGGGTGGCCAACATATGTTTTTGAAGCCAGGCGACGCGACCGCCTTGCCAGGTGATGCGAAGTGTATTATTGCAGTGATTGCTCATCATTTTTTCCTGAAGGCGCGGCACCTCGCAACAATTACCCTGTGACGTACCCAACCCATTTGTATCAATGGAAACGAGGAGTTGGCCGAAACTTGTATGG